GGGGGGGGGGGGAAGACGTTGCCACAGAGCAGAGAATACAAAGGAGATGTGATGACCAAATGAGATCCTGCATTGGATTCTGGAACAGGGGAGGGGGGAAGGGCAGCAGTTTAAAAATTAGTTAACACGTTGGTTTGTAACTTGTGACAAATGCTACACAAAACGTAAGAAGCTCACATTAGGGAAGCTAGGTGAGGAGTGTATGGGAATCCTCTGTATTATTTTTGTAACTTTTCTGTAAATATAAAAATACTCCAAAATCAACAATTAATTAAAAAAAAAAATAGACCTATCCCTCTCCTCCTATCCCTCATTCCTGCCCAGCCCCTCAAACACTATGCTTATTCCACCCTCAAACCTTCGCATTTTCTGTTCCCTCCACTGGGAACGCTCAAGCCCCAGGTCCCCTGGTACCTTCCCTAACCGCCTTGACTAGAATAACTGCCCCGCTGCACCTCTGCATCCCCTCGCCCCGACTTCACACCGTCACAGTACTTACAGGAAATGTATTGATTGTGTCTGGTCCGTCTCTCACAACACATGTGGGAGTAGGGGTCGCGTCTATTTTATCCCGGGCTACAGCCCCAGGGTCCAGCCTAGCATAGAGCAGGGCACTGAGCGCGTATTTCTTAAATGAATGGGTAGAAGAATGACTCTTGGTCCTCAATAAAATACCACCAAGACTGCCAGCAATAATGCTAAGTCACCCTCATTTGTTGAGGTTTATTATAGTTGCAATTCTGTGTTGACTTTACACACGTGGTGTCCTTTAAACTTCCCCAGAACCCGGAAGGTAGTATAGCCCCATTTCTCAGATGGGGAAAGCAAGGCAGGGGTTAGGAGGATTTAAGGTCGCAAAGCAAGTCAGAGACAGAGCCTAGAATGGAATCCAGCCCCTAAAACTCTCAGCCCACGCACTAACCCCTCCGCCTTGGGGAGGGTCCAGACCTCGAGGTTTCCCTCTCTAAATGTCCCTTTAGCCCTAAAGAGCACCATCAGGGCCCCGGAAAGCGGGAGTTCAGGTGCAGAAAGAGGAGGGGGTGGGGGTCCCGACTCCCGCGTCCTGAGCCGCCTGCGCTGGAAGAACTACCTCCCCCGCCCCGCCCGGCTCTGCTTTCCCGCAGCGTCTCACGCCCTCAGGCCCCGCCCCGCGCCTGCCAGGCCCCGCCCACTGCCTTCCCAGACCCGCCTCCCGGGGCCCCGCAGAGATGCAGTGGAAGGTGCTAGAAGAGACTCGGGGGACCCTCGCGAGGATGGCGCAGCAGAAGGAAGGGTCAGGGCCGGAAGGGTGAGAGCCTCCAGACAGGGACCCAGAGAGCCGAGGGGACACAAGAAAAGCAGAGAATGGTGAACAGGCCCAGGGGGAGTAGCAGAGAGAAAAAGGCTCAGCTACCGCCACGTGGAAACAGAATCCTAAGGGATCTTGGCGGCGGAGTTGAGCAGGGTGCTTAGAACTAGGGGGAGCGCTAGAAACAGATATTAGTGGAACAGAGAAACTTCAAGAACGAAGCAGGAGAATGGAAAATGCCAGGAACCGTAGGACT